AGCTAACCCGGAGCTAACGGGAGAATACACTCCCGTTGAAGAGCAGCCAGCACTGCAGCGGTCGGTAAATGCCGCTGAAACACATTAATAAACAATGAACCACGGCACTCTGGAGAAAAGTATAAGGTTGGAGAAGTCGTTATTTAATTTAATCTGGCTTCGTATGATTAAAAGCAACACGATCATCGACCCGACGCAGTCCCCGGCCCGTTGTTGGAGAAAATCAGCGACGTAAACTGTGACGTCATGACGCAGCAGCGGCAGCACCAGTCGGGCTTCTGAGCGGTGTGAAAAGAGCCGGCGCTAAACCGAAGAACCGGTTCTGAACCAGAAAAGCTCTAGCACGGAGCTAGAAGGGGAAAAGCCTTGGTGTGAAAGGGGTATCAGTCTCTTTGCCCTCGTCCATGCTACCTGTCACGCTCCATGTTTGTTCCTGAGGTTTTTTGTCTTGATCCTTCCTCGTACTTCCCCGGTTTTGGTATGTTAAGTTGTTCCTTGTTTTCTTTTGTCATTCAGCTTTGGGAAATAAAGCTCGCTTTTTGTTACCTGACCTTTTAGTCCTTTTACTGCATTTGGGTCCTATTTTTCCCGAACCCTGACACTGACCCCTAGATTCCACCGGGTCCGTCTGCGGCGCGTTACGGCCGCGTTACGGCTGCGCCGCGGCGACCGCGGCGATCGCGGCCACTCTAGTCAATGGGTGCTATTCCACCACACGTGGCGCGTTACGGCTCAGAAGCGTCCCAGAAGCGTCTCGGCGCAGGGCTCCTCTAAAATTAGGATTGAATCCTATTTTTGTCGCGGCGCAGCCGTAACATAAGGTCGGTCAGGCAGGAAGTGGAACGTTCAGAGCATATATAGCATATATATATAGATATATACACACACAAACAAACAAATTTTGCAGACCCTATCCCTCCGTAGTCTTTCAAGTAGGAGGAGAAATGCCAGCATTCTCCTCCGGTTTACAGGCACTGTGTAAATTATATATAATAATTATGATGATGAATGCATTTTTTTACCACTAAAATACAGCAACACATCTTTGATTCATGTAGTTTATAACTGGAATATTGCAGTTATTATTAACTTTGTCTGTACAAAGTGCTAGGGGGTGCTAGTGACTTATCCGAGCGGCCCACATCGTCCGACCGGCCCACTTCACTACCGGCCCATCGGGATTCGTCCTGAACGTCCCGATGGCCAGTCCGCCCCTGCTTCAGAACATGTATAGTCACAGGGGTCGGCAACCCCTGGCACGCGTGCAGCATTGGCACGCGGCACCGTAACCAGTGGCACACTAGGAATAAGTGGAATAAGTGTGCAAACATATTTAAATTGTATTTTCGGATCCTGAACGAGACCGCCGCCAGAGCGCGTCTCCCCGTTACCTGCAGAAGGAAGCCATGCACGCACGCAACGCACCCCCCTCTTTAAATCCAGGTGACTTTCTGCCGCTTTCCTCCGTGGTGCAGGGCTGATCGTTCACAAAAAAGCACTTCACAAATTGCAGTACCCATCAGGAGCTTTACAAATGCCGCAGTTTTTTGCGTGGCTGTGTCTTTAGTTGAAAGCCCAGTGGCGATCTGCTCATCTCTCATTGAAATAATATGCTACAAAGGGGCGGACTGGCCATCTGTGTGTTGAACTTTCATGTCGGCTCCCAGACCGTAGTCGAGGAGGGCAGAAGCAACAAGCTTCAGGTTCAATAACCCACTTTAGCATAAATGACTGGAGAGAGGCGAGCTCTTCTTGGGAGGCCGTTGCATTTATTTAGCTGTTCTTCTGTTTCACAAAATACATCACAGACCTCTGTTTTTCTGCTGCCTCGTTTCACTTCCAGAAACGTACACACGCTCGCTCACTCTCGCTCTACCATCCACACACACACATGCACCCGCCACACCCCTCTCTCTCTCTCTCTCTCTCTCTCTCAAAGGGACAGCGATCTCATCTCACTCTGCATGACCCTAATATCATAACATGTGTGTTCTGGAGAATATTATGCCGTTTAAACCAATTATTTAAATGTGTTTGTTAAATTCGGTATCATGTAAGTTGCGCTGACAGGTCCCTCCCCTTCTCGATCGTTGGCACGCTGATAACAATTTTTTTTTTGAATGGCACTTCATATCAAAATGGTTGCCGACCCCTAAAAACCATCTTGAATTTATTTGTAGAAAGTTAGTTTGTTATTTAACAGGTAGGAGACTTTTTAGTTTCATACATTTTCAAAAATACATTGTTAGAATTTCTAAAAAGTACAAACCACTAAAATAATGTAAATGAAGCAAAAGGCTCCTGAAATCCTTTCACATGTACTCACCAGTGTAACGCTGCCTTGCTGGGGTCCCAGTATATTTAAACTGCATGGGATGACGGCTACTAATGAGCACTGCACATGATATATATATTTGGAATGCTTTATTGATTGAAGTGGGGGCTGCATTTTGAATTCTTAAACAAGTTATGCTTGTCAGACTGTGGCATGACCTTTGCAACACAAATATAATAAAGTGAGCATGTTTAGCAAGTTTTGATATTGTTACATGCTGTTTATACTTTTTTTGACAGTGTAAAGCTATGATTACTAATGTACATATAGCTTTACACTGGTATGATCTGGAACTGTGACAGGCTCTGAAAGACTCCACTTCCGTAGTTGCACTTATAAAGGGAAACAATGGCCTTAATGAGTCCAACTGGTCACAAAAACCAAACATTTTTAGATTTTTAGGGTTTTAGATCAGGACCTGGTCTTATGTGGTCTAGATGTAGAAAAAGCAGCAAAATCTTCCTTTTTTGTATTTTCACAAATAGAATTAAGGTTTCACAAATCTCAAACTGTGTTATAAAGAATCTTTAGACCCTCTGGGATAATCCAGTCCGGATTTGATGAGTCTAGGTCTAGTGGTTTTAGATCAGGACCTGGTCTTCTGTGGTCTAGATGCGAAAAAAGCACTGAAATCTCAATTTTTTTAATTTTCACAAATAGAATAAAGGTTTCACAAATCTCAAACTGTGTTATAAAGAATGTTTAGACCCTCTGGGATAATCCAGTCCAGATTTGATGAGTCTAGTTCTAGTGGTTTTAGATCAGGACCTGGTCTTCTGTGGTCTAGATGCGAAAAAAGCACTGAAATCTCAATATTTTTAATTTTCACAAATAGAATTAAGGTTTCACAAATCTCAAACTGTGTTTTAAAGAATGTTTAGACCCTCTGGGATAATCCAGTCCAGATTTGATGAGTCTAGGTATAGTGGTTTTAGATCAGGACCTGGTCTTCTGTGGTCTAGATGCGAAAAAAGCACTGAAATCTCAATTTTTTAAATTTTCACAAATAGAATTAAGGTTTCACAAATCTCAAACTGCGTTATAAAGAATGTTTAGACCCTCTGGGATAATCTAGTCCAAATAAATCGGCTATGCAGCGATTTAAGAGGTTCAAACACGGAGGATTGTTCGCTCAGCGCTGTAAATTAAATGTCCCTTAACTTTCCCCTTAACTTCCGAATCGGAAGCCAACTTCACCGTCGTATTTGACGACTACCTTGTACTTCTACCCCACTACAATTCAGAGGTAAATGGTGTACTTCTACTCCACTACATGTATTGAATACCTTTAGTTACTTTACAGATGTGGATGAATGATGTGAAATATAATCAAGTGTTAAATCAGACTTTAGTTCCACCTGGAGTAAATTCACAAGCTACCCTGCAGTATACAAAGTCATTCAAACTAGCTGCACCTTTACCAGCTTTGAGAACACTTTAATGTGTGTTTGTTTGTGTATGTACAAAGTAACTGAGGGTTCAAATAAATCTAGTGGATTTAAAGAACAATAGTCATTAATTTATTTTATTGTACAACGTATTCAATAACTTCAGTTATAAAGAAAGTGTGCTAATAACATCACTTCACACATTAATGGGTCCCTGCTGCTTATAGTACACCAATACTTTAGGGGAAATATATTTATGAAGTATTTGACTGATTTGTTTTCTCGTAAAACATTTGTAATTATTTCCCTTTAATGCATTGTAGTGCTACCGAAAGGACTTCACACATTTTTGGTCTCCTGCTGCTAATACTACTATCGATAATTATTGGGGAAATAAATGCAATAAACATAATATAATGAATAATGCAAGCAGGTAAAACTATAGGGGTCTCCTGGACATCATCTTAGTGTCAATATACTTTGGACCAGGAACATTAGGATCATTAAAATAATTTATTTAAAAAATAAGTGTTGTAGCTTGACCTACATGAGACAATTAATGTGTGAAGGGATTTTGGTAGAATTGACACAATAAAAAATTGCAAAAGCTATTTCTGCACTTTTAAGTCTTGTAGTATAACAAACAGATTGACATTATTACATGAAGTGGTTTTGGAAGCAACATATTGCATACTTGGACAGATACTCAATATTTTTCTCAAGGGAAATTCACCAAAATTATTCAAAGGCATCTTTCTACAAAACATTGATTTAGTTCAGCCTGCAGGAAACCCTTGATGTGTAAAAGGATTTTGGTTACACTACACTGTAACATTTAGAAAATAGTTTTAAAGAAATATTCAACAAAATTATTCAATGGCTTATTTCTATAAAACAATTTGGTGTATCATGAAAAGTAAAAGTGCAAAAAGTATCAAACTCAATCGATTAAATGCATTAACATGTATCAACCAGAGACTGTATATACAGTAAATATATATATAGGTATACATTCAAAGTCAGGGATACATTGCAAAGTCTTAACTGGCACATCACAATTATGTGAATGTACAGACTCATACTACTTTCAAGTTTCAAGGCTTTTATTGTCATGTGTACATAGCTACAGTGTAGATATATCAATGAAAAACGTAGGTCGCAGGCTCCTCCAACAGTGCAACACAATACAACTGATAAAATACTGCAAGTAAATACAAATACAATAGAATATAAATAGTGCAAGAAGACTTAACACTGAACTGCTGTTTCTTTAACAGGGTGTGCGTACTTCGTGGCACCAGTCTTTCAGCTCTCCTGTCTTTCCAAGGAATATGTTTCAAAAGCTGGTTGTTGTCCTATGTGCAGAAAAGGTAAGTTATATCTAACAAGTATTACAAAATCAGAAGTCAGTGAGAGCATTTTAAAGGATGAATTTAACTGGGATTTCCGAAGCTGAAGTTGGCTTTGCTCCCTGAAGTGCTCCATCAAAGACCTGAAACGGGATGAACATAATTGTTACTGACTCTAATCTTAATTTTCTAATTGTAATTTGCCTTCATGTCTTGATGTTGAGATGCTGACAGAGTGTTTGCTTTTTGAACAGGAACCATTGTTCAGGAGGACTGCTCGTATGTAGCAGGCACACTCTGCAGCCGCTGTGAGAAAGGGACTTATATGAACCAACCCAACGGACTCAATAGATGTTTCACATGCACCTCCTGTGACTCAGGTATGTATTTAATGTGTTATTATGATGTCTTTGTAATCTTTTATGACAGTAACAGTGGATATCTTGGTGTCTTTGGACCGTTGGTTAGATAAAACCAGTTATTTGTTATACTTTGATGGATGCATTTCTCACTTTGCTGTGGCACTGTATACAAAACATGTAATCAGTTAAGATTAACATCACTTTATAAATCCCTGAGGGGAAATTCAGTTAAAGGATTTTATCAGTCTTGATAATGGAAATATTCCTAAATTGCAACACTGGTGCAGATTTAATAATCACCCCAAATATGTATTAACTAATAAATCAACCAAATGGCAACTGTGTTCCAAACGTAAACATATGTGCATATAAACATCTATGTAAGCATATGCTTACCTCTATGCACAGTAAATGAGGGGAATGCATAACATCAGATCTGCTTCAGGTCTCTTCACATGTGGAGAGGGGAGAAAGGAGGGAGGGGGGGTAAGTTAGATGTAGTCAACAAGCAGCTGCTACATTGGTTATACAAGGGTGAAGAGAGTTCTACAGTGTACAGGATACATGACAAGTCATATTCAATATAGACCAATAATAATAAATGTATAAAAATATTATTTTCTAAAACTCCAAGTCCATTAAACGCATCATTATTTTCCGATAATCTGTCGCTCAAATACAAATGATTGGACTGAAATATAACAGGCTTTTATGTAATTATTTTGTAAGTGCATTTAATAAGACGTCTATTATATTCCATCCACAATTCTCTTATTTCCTGCTTTAACATTTTATTTTTTATTTTTGTGATATATATCTATATATTTGTGTCTATATATATATATTACAGGGGTGCACATAACTGGTGCGTAACGTCCCTTATGTCACTGCGCGCCTTTGCGTACCTGATAGGTGATCAAAACACATATTTTGTCTACACGTGTTTCTTGTCAACACTCAATGGAGTAAACTACTAGACATGTCCAAAAAAACAAAACACATTAAGCATTTCGCTTCCTGCTAAAAATATTCGGACTTTCTTGGACTGATTGAACTGGGTGCTGGCCGAGTCGCGCAGGCCATAACCGACGGACCTGTGAAGCTTTACAGGAGGCAGAGGCTTAGATCACTGGGCGACAGAGTTGGACACCGTATGCACAGACAGGGCTGCTGTAAACGTCGGTGTGTACAACAGAATTGTACCAAAACTACGCCAACTGGCTGCGGTGGGAGACTCCCCTGTGCAAATTCTGTGCCCCGCGCACACACTGGAGAACTGCGCAAAATCAGCTGATCACAACGTTCACGCGCTGTGGTCAAGCTGCTGCAGTTTTATTTACAACAAGCAAAACACACAGCTGCAAACTTACTTACGGGTTAATGGAAGAGTTTGAAGTCAGACAGAGGTGGAAGAAGTACTCAGATCTTATGTAGGAATACTCTGTTACAGTAAAAGTCCTGCATTCAAAATGTTCCTCAAGTAAAAGTAGAAAAGTATTATCATCAAAATATAGTGAAAGTAGCGACAGTAAAAGTAGTCATTGTGCAGATTGGTCCATTTCAGAATAATATATATGATGTGTTTTATAATGATTGATCATTAAAGTGTTCTCAAAGCTGGTAAAGGTGCAGCTAGTTTGAATGACTTTGTATACTGCAGGGTAGCTTGTGAATTTACTCCAGGTGGAACTAAAGTCTGATTTAACACTTGATTATATTTCACATCATTCATCCACATCTGTAAAGTAACTAGAGGTATTAAATACATGTAGTGGAGTACAAGTACACCATTTACCTCTGAATTGTAGTGGGGTAGAAGTACTAAGTAGCATGAAATATAAATACTCAAGTAAAGTGCAAGTATCTCAAAATTGTACTTAAGTACAGTACTTGAATAAGTGTATTTAGAAATCAGATATGACTTCAAGTCATGAGATCATTTCTTAGTATTTGACCTCAGGAAATGCAAGGACTTCACAGTTTTGGCAACAAGTTTTGGAGAAGGCAAATTGGAGGCTTAAACAGGGACAGAGAGGTGCATCTGCAGCATCTTCATCATCTACCATGCAATAAGTGTAAATAGAGGACAGTGAAGGAGACAGTGAGGAAGACTACACTTATTAAAACCACGTGTGGGGTGAGTACCAAACGCTGTCTCCTGGTACTCATCTAAGTAACTCACTAAAAAAGTTATGTGCACCCCTGTATATATATCTATAGATAATATATATATACTGTATGTATATATATATATATACTGTATATATATATATCTATATATAGATATATATATGTTTTTCAAGAAAGCTGGCAAGTTGTGTGAGTTGGATTTTAAATATTATTTAGGTTAGCATACATTGACTGTTTCTTTCTGCTTGTTTCTTTAGGCCACGGCCTCTTTGTCCTGCAGGGCTGTTCAGAAACAACTGATACAGTCTGTGAAGTTATAGATGGCTATTTCTGCAAAGATGTGACAGGATGCAGTGCGGCACAGAAACATACAACATGTGTACCTGGCGAGAGGATAAAAGAACCTGGTAAGTAAAATGCAGGTCACACTCTCCTGACAGTGACTGTTTACATATGCACACTGAAGGCCTGGTCTTAATCATAAACTTAATATGATGTTTACATTACACAAAGTATCAGACAATCATTATATCAAATATGATCAAACTTTTGACTGGACTATAACCCGAGGTGCAGAAGCTCACATAACAGGCAGTAAACAGGAACCCCTCCCTGTTTCTTTATGAGTCCTGCAGCTATCACATGAGGGTTTCTGAAACAGATATGATGACCTCCTCGTACGTTTCAGTCTTGAAAGATAACCTTTAAATTACTCTCATCTTAAAATTGTGACTGGAGATGTACTGGTTCATTTCCTGAATGAACTTTTAGACAGTGATGACTGATCTCCTGCAGTGTGAACGTAAAAACACTAAATGAAGACACTGATGTGATGATGGATCATTACTGGATGTTGGCTGCTGTGTGACTAATCTCTCCTGTGTCCCCGTCTCTAAGGAACCAGCAGAGAGGATGCACAGTGTGAGCTTTGTCAGCCTGGCTTCTTTTCAAAGCATGGTGTGAATTGCAACGACTGGATAACGTAAGGCTTTGTTTGTTGTGGCATTACTCAAACAAGTAGGGCTCTTCCTGCCCTGCAACATCCAATCCAATCCAATCCATTTTATTTCTATAGCACATTTAAAAACAACAGAGTTGAACAAAGTGCTGTACATCATCAACTGTATAAAAACATAGCATAAATACATGAAAAACAGACAGGACATGAAACAAATGTAAAACACGAGACAATGAAACCAGATCAGAAGGCACAGACTGAGAAACTCTCCTACATGACGTAAAAACAATACAAGACTCTAGTAAGATAAAAACCCAAATGTAAAAGCACAAGTTTCACCTGGTCTGTAAATGCAAGGGAAAATAAATGGGTTTTTGAACGAGATTTAAAAACAGGCAGAGTTGGAGCAAGTCTAACCCGGAGGGGAAATTCGTTCCATACTTTTGGAGCTGCAACAGCAAAGGCTCTGTCTCCTCGCTGCTCTAACCTTGATTTAGGGACGACCAGAAGTAATCTGTCAGCAGACCTCAGTGACCGTGTGGGTGTGTATGGTTTTAAGAGATCTGCCATGAAATGACCACTTTGTTTCTGCAATAATTGGATTGCTGAAAAGAAGTTGTGATCTGTGGCTTTATTTGAATGTGTGATGAGCCAATCCTCCAGTTTCATTTAATTTAGTAACAAAACATAAATATCCTTCAATAGACTTTTGGGAAATCATTTGTTTTAATATTGATTGTTTTTGATGGGTGTATCATTACCTTTTTTGTAATAAAAAGTGATACAAAGTTTCATGTAATACACACAAAGTACTGAAGCTACTTTTCATTTCTCTTTTCTGTCAGGTGCTCAGAAACCCAGGTAAAGCTGAAGGAAGGAACCGAGAGCAGCGATGTTGTCTGTGGAGTTTCTTCAAGAAATCATTACATTGTCATTCCAGCAGTAATATTGTTTGAAATGACAATTGTTGCGCTTTTCATGAGGTTAGTGCTTGTTTTCCAACCTCCATACTCATTTCGAACATCATTCCCTACCATTTGATTTTCCAGTTACTTTAGGTGAATGGATATTAACTCTAAACTTTCCTTTTTTTCAACTGACCCTTTCCACAGTATCTCTTGCAGGGGCCATCTACTTGAATCCAACGCTAACGAACAAGACGGACGCATACAAAGTTTGGAATCGATGTGTGCTAAGCAGAGTTGGGTGTAACGCGTTACAAAGTAACTGTAATAATATTACTTTTGTCGGTAACGGAGTAGTGTAACGCGTTACTTTTATAATTCAGTAATCACACGACAGTTACTAACATTGCCCCGACACGCGTTACTTCGTTACTTTTATAAAATCAGTCATAATCACACTGACAGACAATAGGAGTTTCCGCCGCAGGTTTATATGTACGTAATCTGCGCGATCTCCGTGGAACACTGTACAAATCCCGTTTCAATAATTCCCCTCTACTCTAAAGTCGCATCTAAAACGCGATCTGATATAGCTGTGTATATTTTGTTATGTTTGATTGTTATATTCAATCTCATTAGCTACAGGCATTTTTTAAGCTTGTAAAGGGAAGATGGCACCTCTCACTCGCCACTCTGCTGTTCCACAGCGCCGCTTCCCCTCCCTCTGCTGAAATTATGAATGTAAGGCGTATAGTAATCATAGATAACACGGCAGGGTCCGTTACAGTTTGTTTTTATCTGATTTCAAATAAACAAAGTTTAGGGTTCTGTTTTAGCCCCCCTTCTTTTTGCCCTGTACATGCTCCCATTGGGCTGCATAATTAGCCAATTCAAGGGTGTCTCATATCACTGTTATGCAGATGATATCCAGATATACATCTCTTTCAAACCCGTCAAAATGGAAATTGTAAACACTCTCATCACATGTCTGTCTGCAATTGAGGATTGGATGTCAAGCAACTTCCTACAGCTCAATGCTTCAAAAACGGAAGTCTTGATTTTAGCGGCTGATAACATCGCCTCTACACTCTTAGAAATGAAATATGGATGTTGTTTGCATTAATTGCTTTTTTTATATTAAAACTACTAAGTAAATGCACTTTTTACAATTAAATCAAGAGACTTTAATTGCATTTATGTAAAAGTTCAAAGTTTTGGGATTACATTACCATGTTGTGTTGTATTTAAATGGTAAAGTTATTTAAAACGCACTGATTGTCCCAAAGTGCTTGCCGTACTTTCTCAGCACATGCGCTGTAAGACCGGGGACATGTGTCATTTGAATCCTGTGACTGTGAGATGACAGAACCGCATTTTTTCCCTTTCCTGTGCCATCCTGCGATGTTATGGTAAGTTTCTTAAATATTAACATATATTAAACACAAACGGTCCCTGAAATACAAAAGTTGATGTGTATTTTTGATTTCCCTGCTACCAACTGTATACTTTGATGATAGATTTGAAAAGCGGTGCAGCCTAGCTAACAGCTAGCTAACAGCTAGCTTAACGGTCACTTTTTAATTATGTTCCCTTGCACTTAAAAGTGTTAGAATATGTCACAAAAGAGGTGACATTTCAAGCTTTGTCTGTATAAGTCAATCGTTATGTATTTAATGATTTTAGCTTGATGTGGTTATAATAGTAATGTTAGCTCTTACCAAAAGTAAGTGGACACGTTTTTTCCCTCCTTTTTTAAATTTTTTTTTTTTAAATGTGCTTGATTTAAAGATTTGAGAGCCTGGTTGCAAACATCTCCAGTGCCAAAAAGGTCATAGTCGGTTAAGGTCTTCTAAGTCTATTAAAAATAACTTCATCAAGTGTAACGCCCTGAGGGAGGTTTTTTTGTTCAATTGTAAAGCTTATTTGGAAGAAATAAAAATCCCATCTGTGCACTGTACTGTTGCGTCAGCCGGAGCCGTGCCTGGTCGTTACGTTAATTATGTCGGCCAGGAATATCAAAGTGTGAATTATTTAAAGCATGTACAGGAACACACTCAACAAGCACATCTTCCATTAAGACAGCTCTTAAATAGACACGTAATTCACCCGAAAACGTGTTTCTTTATAATAATCAGAGAGAGAGAGCAAGATTAAATAGTGGCAGGTACTTCAGCCGCAGATGCCACTATTTGCTGAGACAACTGCGGCTGCTGAAGGGGTGTTACTCTGGGTGCCGAGCCAAGCGAATGTGTGTGGCAGTTGCCACTTACCTGCCGTGGCAACTGCTTGTGTTTAAACAGTAATTTATCGTGGAAAAGTATTTCCATGTTCTGCTACTCTGTAATTCTACTCAATTACATTTCAGTGGGAAATATTGTACTTTTACAACACTACATTTATTTGACACTTGTAGTTACCTTTTTAGATAATGTTTATATTCATATACATGTACTACTAATTTACTCAGTTCTTTCCAAAATATGCTCTATATTAACAAATCACAACATTAAAAAAATCTTGTATATATGTAGATTTTTTATTATAAGAACATTCATTTTTATTCTATGATGCAACCCTTTTACAAAAGGCTTTCTGCACAAAGTACTTTTTCTTTTGATACTTTATTATATTTGGCTAATAACACTTTGGAACTTTACCTTAAGTATTATTTTGAACTTGGGACTATAGCAAGTAATGGAGTATTTATACTTTTACTTTAGTACAGGATCTGAGTACTTTTTCCACCACTGCTTAAGATCCAGTAATGGGTTGCTATATCCTGCACCTCACACCCTGAATTATGTTAATGGCTGCAATAATAGTTGTTATTTACAATACATTTGGATCATTAACACATTTCTCTTTTTCTCTAGGTTTTGAATGTGGAGATGCAAACAGTGTACTGAGACTCAATCTACAAGGTACCAATTACTGAAGCACTATAAATTAAAACACGGCCATTTTGGTCAGAGACACCCATATCCATGCACATACTATGAATGCCCATGCTCTTTCAAAACATGGAATGCTCTTAAAACCCATTTAAGTAGATGTCATGTTGAATCTTTACCTGTATTAAGTGCAGAGCTATTTTAATAGATGCACATGTATAAGAAAAGAACCTCAGCTGAAATTCTTTGTTTGGTTTACACCAGTAGATGTCCTGTCCTTTCTGCTATGACACTTGATGGATATTATTAGCTTTAAACAAAACATTTGAACCTGTATCACAATGTGTTGCAGGTAAACGCAGAATTCACCCGCATCACCACCGTTCCGCTGCTGCCTACCTTCATGTCTCAACTGGATCGCCATTCGTCTCAGTTGATGAAGGTTTTCAAAAAGAAGGGGGGAACAGCAGGACGCAATTTGGGCCTGATCATGGCAGCCATGGACAAGGTATGTAGTTGTAATAAATTGTGTAGTTTGGGCACTGCAACACCATATTCTCTTTATCTCTCTCTCTTGTTGTCCCTCTCATATAAATATATTTTAACCTCTCTGACCCCCTTTCTTTGACTTGCCAAAAATCAGCACACAAGCATAATCAGTATTCTTGTGTGAAGATTTTGAAAATGTGTTTGTCCCTCAGGATCCCACAGTTGAAACACGACGGGACTGTGTCCTTAAAGCGCTCTGCGTCTACATGAATGAAAGTTCCGAGAGCTTCATAAAGGAATATTTGGTAAGTTGAAACATAGCCAAACACAGATATATATATATATATATATACACCTGAACATCAGCAGGAGAGGACTCTTTAAAGTAGAGACACTACATACTGATATACTCCTGAACATCAGCAGGAGAGGACTCTTTAAAGTAGAGACACTACATACTGATATACACCTGAACATTAGCAGAAGAGGACTCTTTAAAGTAGAGACACTACATACTGATATACACCTGAACATCAGCAGGAGAGGACTCTTTAAAGTAGAGACACTACATACTGATATACACCTTAACATCAGCAGGAGAGGACTCTTTAAAGTAGAGACACTACATACTGATATACACCTGAACATCAGCAGGAGAGGACTCTTTAAAGTAGAGACACTACATACTGATATACACCTGAACATCAGCAGGAGAGGACTCTTTAAAGTAGAGACACTACATACTGATATACACCTGAACATCAGCAGGAGAGGACTCTTTAAAGTAGAGACACTACATACTGATATACACCTGAACATCAGCAGGAGAGGACTCTTTAAAGTAGAGACACTACATACTGATATACACCTGAACATCAGCAGGAGAGGACTCTTTAAAGTAGAGACACTACATACTGATATACACCTGAACATCAGCAGGAGAGCACTCTTTAAAGTAGAGACACTCCATACTAATTTGAACCTGAACATTTGCATAATATGTCCTCTTTAAATAAAAATAATAGAATTTGTTTTTTATTCAAAGTATTTGCTGCTACTTTGGTTATATTGTTCATGTACATTTACAACTACATGTATTTATTTACAATGGATCCAATAAAAGGATTTGCTCATTTGTTTCATATTATAAAATGTTGTGTGTCAGGGTTCTCATACTGATAATCATGAATACTATGTTCTAATCCCACTTTAGGATGTTGAACTTGCAACAACCCAAATGGAGCCAATGGTATTGGGACTCTATCTCGTGAAACACGAAGGAGCAGAACCCGGGGAACCACTTGCGGATGTTGGCGTCATCATCGAGGGTGTTGGAGTGCTGCGAGAGCTGAAATACTTGGCAAATGGATGGGCAGTACTGCTTGGACTGATTTACAGCCTCAATCTGAGCTACCCCAAGGACCTGAAACATACATTTGAATTCATTCAAAAAGTATTGATGGGGTTGGATGGCAACAGACTGTCAACCAAGGTGCAGGTTCTGAAAAACAGATTACAAGAGTAATCCCAAGGACAAAATACTGTGACAGAGATAACGTCCAGTTCATTTCCATCTCGGTACATTCTCTCACACACACACACACCACACCACACCACACCACACACACACACACACACAGAGAGACACCACAAACACAGAGACACACACAGACACACACCACACACAGAGAGACACACCACACACACAGACACTCGCAATTGTATTTCTGCTTTTGAAAGTTCAAGACATATGTTCATGTGTATAACAGAGGCAAAGATCTACTGTAACACATTATGTGCTTGAGCAATATTATGTGATGCGTTTCATCTAAGTGTTTGGAAAGACATAAAAACACCATACTTCATAGTAAAGTTGCATTTTATAAAATGTTCAGATAATAAGTCATTATTGTAGCTTTTCAGCCCACATGTTAACTTCTTGAGTCACTCTTGTTTCTCATCACTGTCAAGTTCAGC